ACATTATATTTAATGTGATAAAATATAAGAGAAAAAAGTAAATATTAAGATGGTTATCCCTTTTAAAATGTTAAAATTATTTAAAGAATTATCTAAATATTTTTAATAAATTTTTTATTTATTGATATGTTAAGGGTATTTAAAATTTTCTATTTTATTATTGATATTTTAATTATTAAAATGTCTTAAATTTTTAAAACACCAAAATATATTAATGAAAATTTTGATAAATAAATAAAATAATAAATATAACATCATGATTAATTGATTGTACATTCTAACTATTAAGATTATATTATTAAGTAGTGTCATCATTTCAATTATTGAATTGCAAAAATCAACAAATGATTATTTTTAAATGACTTACAGAAGTGAATTTTAATTAATTAATTAATTATTATTAAAAAAATATTCTTATTTTCAGTTATTTATTCATGATTTTTTTTATAATAATTCGAATTGCCACCAACTTGCAATGTATAGAACATGGTGTTACATGGCATGGAAAGAGCTGCGATTTTGTTTCCTTTCCCTTTGGGATTAAAGTACATTTTCTATTGAATCAAAGCAGAAGAAAAAAAAAATAAGTGCAAGAAATGGCAGCATTTCCATGGGACAAATATATAATAAGATATACAAAAGTGGAAGTGGGGAGAAATTCAACTAACATTCTTGATTTGGGTAGAAATCTCAACCTCCAACCCACTATAGGATTAGCAAGCGTCTTAATCCTTCTCTTTTTAGTTTACCATCCCCTTTTGGTTAAAGAGATAGTTACTATTTCTGACTCTATTTTTTTTTTTTTAAAAGAGAGATAAAATTAAGAAATTATTTACAATATATTATTATTATTTTAAAAATGTGTAAATATTAAATTAAGATAAATATTACTTATATTAAGAGAAAAACAAATTAAGACATTTTAATGTTTAAAAAGTTAAAACTATATATGAAATTATTAAAATACATTTAGTAAATTTTCTTTACATGTTAATTTACTAAGTCTATTCAGAATTTTCTATTATCATAATCAAAACGTCTAATTATCTTAAATTCTTTATATTATATATATTTTTTAGATATTAAAAAATTAAAAAACTTACTAATACAGTTGCAAGGAAACGCTTTCAAATGAGCCTATTTAAAAAGTTAATGAACCATACTGCTAAACTTAATAGTTTGACAAATTTTGTTAATTTTCAAAGTCAATCATTTTTCATAATGACCACCAAGATGACCCAACACTTTGGCAATTGAATAAACACAACCATAGAAAGCAGTTTCTAAAATTGTCAATTATCTAATTCATTACGTTGCAATCATTCAGTTGTAAGGAAATCATGAATTCAACATATGTAGCCGTCTGATGCTTGTGCTTGCCGCTTCACCCATTCAAAGGACAGGAATCATATGCAATAAGATTGGCTAGAAGTTCCATCATTGTTTTGCTTACAGTCTTATAGGAGTTGTTCAATGTTGAAACTTTCAGAAATGAGAAAAGACTTATGATGCAGTTTTAAAAATATTTATGAATGATCTTAATAATTGATGCATGTGCATTAGACTTATACATGCAATAGCAGTATAGCAGTACAGCCCACCAACGAAATGTTGCATCAAGCGGTAAGCGGCTTGTTTCAGCTTAAGCAAGGTCTCGAGTTCGAGACCTTGTGTATGCAGCAGCTCCCGCTATGAGACTCATCCACCATTTCTAGATGCGCGACGCGGGTCGACTCCAGATTAGTTGGGGCAAAGCCCCGGATACTGGGCGGCAAACAAAAAAAAAAAAGTATAGCAGTACAGCCCAAATCACAAATGTACGGCCTTACACATTCCCTCAAGAATGTCTCCGGTCAGAACCTACATTTAAGAGGATGAGCATTTATATTTTAAGGCAATATTGTTATATAATATTTATATTATAATTATGTTAATTGGATTCACATTATAATTGATTGATATAATTAAATTAATTGATTTTGTAACATAAAATATTCTCTTATACAGGTCTATAAATAAGCACCTTGTATATTCAGTCAAATTAAAAAAATATATATCTTTCTTCATATATCTTTATATTTTTCTTCTCTTTATTTTTTCCATCATAGTATCAGAGTCTTGAGGCTTTTTTTACTATTACTATTTATCTCCTTTGTGAGTTGTTGCTTTGCTTGTAGGTGGTGTCGATTATCATCATCTTTGCTTTCTTTCTTGGACTTATTTGCGATTGGGTTTTCTTGATCATGTTCCTTTGTTGCACTGGCAATACGTCTTACTCCCACGGCCAGTGTTGCTCTAGCCTTCTCGCATCCAATTGCCGTTGATTTTGCTCTTGATTTCTCGTAATTGAACTTTTGACATTGCTGTTACCCAGATTTGATATTGCCTCCTTCTCTTCTAACAACATCGACTGCACCAATCTGCATATTCGATATGCAGATCTTTTCACTATCCTAGACGCTTCCTCTTTCCAAACTCAAGCTGGTCTCATCATCACCACTTTGAGTTTGAGGGGGATATTACAAAATATTTATATTATAATTATGTTGATTGGATTCATATTATAATTAATTAATATAATTAGGTTAATTAATTTTGTACCATAGAATATTCTCTTGTACAAGCCTATAAATAACCACCTTATATATTAAGTGAAATTAAGAAAAAAAAGAGTTTCTTTCTTCATATATCTTTATATTTTTCTTCTCTTTATTTTTTCTATCAAATATGAATACAATGTTAAGAGTCTGAAAAAAGAAACTATTGTATACTACATCTAGTAAGAGAGAATCTACTATAGCAATCCAATGAGAAAGACGCCTTCGAATACAAAAGAAAAAACATGTATGCTACAACAATCTAAGAAGAAAAAAAATCTCCAAATACTAAAGAATTAGTTAGAGCACCAATCAAATAATGGTCATGAAGAGCAAGGGAAAAGATCCAACAATTATGGTGCAATCAATAAGTAATGGTCACAGAGAAAAAGGAAAGTATTTTGCAAAATTAACAAATTAAGAAAATAGTGGAGGAACCAGGGAGAGACCAAAAGTAAGGTCTTTTTCTTTTTAGTCCTAACTTTAGACTCTTTTTTTTGGTAAAATGAGATTTTCAATAGGGCCTTCGGCCTTTTTTCTCTTGTAACCTTAGTCTTATGTCTATTTTTAATCTTTTGAAACTTGAGGTGAAACTCATGTCCAATCCTCACTGTATGTAGTTCCGCCACCGCAAGAAACCCTTTTATTTTTTAGGCAAGAGTGTAGACTTCTTGTAATTATATAGACATGTAAATATTTGTTTAGCAATACCACAAAAATTCCCACTCTTTCTTCTTTTTCTAAAACTAATTCAAACAAGACCATGAGTATGTCCATAGTTGATGTAAGCTACATTGTCAATCCCATACATTCTGTTCTTGTCATGATGAAGAACAATCCAAAAGAATATAATAAGATTTTCTTTAGTTTAAATGTTAATACTAATGATTTGTTGGTCTGAATGAAAAAATTTCAGTTCCTCTTAAATAAAATTTCGAGTTTAAGTGTTGTAAATGGAGAAATAAACGCTAAGAGAGCTTTCTCCTTTATGAAATTTGATGTGGCTCGATTTTAGATTAATTGAGATCCAATGTAGCTTTGAGATATGAAGGGTTAATACAAAAAAAATGCCAATAATTTAATCAATTTCCAAACAAATCATTTTGATGCATCGTAATTTTTTTTTTTTAAGTGTTTTATAGTCTAAACTATTTTAGACTGTAAAATACTAACTCTTAGATGTACTTAGATGGAGGAATGCCTCCAACATCTAAGGGTCTCTATTTTACAATCCGAATTGTAATACAGTATATTCTTCTTTTTTTAACAAGATAAAAGATGCATAAATTGTTCTTGCTATATGTGATAAATTAGTGTTAATTTGTTTGATGGATAATATTCAGGTGATTATAGTGACATGATGTTCCACTGGCTAGACAAAGAACCAGAGCCATGTCTGATTTTCCCTCAATAGATAGAAAAGCAGCAATTCAAGGCATATTATCAAATATCAAGTCTAAGTCTACTTTTAAGTAAAGTGAAACATCTTTTTTTTGCATTCCACTCAAGAGATTGCATCCTATCTCATATACCTACTTCATAAATCTATCCATGATTGAAGGAAGCAAGGCATTATCCACATGTAATGCATCTCAAATCTCAATCTTCACATTACACCATTGAAGCATCGCTTTCTCTTCTTTCTAATGAAAGTAAAAGAACATTGTTTAAGAGTTAAGATTCACTTACACATATATAAGTCTACATAAATTATTGGTTATTGATTTCTAAATCCTACTTTTTGAGATATACATATTACCAATATAGCAACACCATTGCAACCATTGGAAGTGAAAATCAAGAGCTGGTAATATGTATAGACTTATATTGTTATACACGTAAAAGCGGATGCTGACTCATTGTTGAATCAAATATGCATTATGCAAATTAAGCAGTGGTTTCCAAGTTTATGCTAGGTAGGACATATAATAGGATTTTGTATCTTATCCTACACAATATTAGCCAACTAATTGCCACCATAACCAATTCAATGGGAAATAATTTAAGTTCTTTGTTTCTTATCCCTCATTAGTCATTAACAAGAAAGTTTTGGAAAGTTAAGCAAATTGCAATTTTTTCAAGCATCTGCATTGAAGGAAATATGAATCTGGCGTGATTCTCCATATGCTTCTAGTTTCTGCTAGCTGGCGAACATATTCGAAACTAATGCCTGTTAGATCATATCACTGATCAATTATCATCTAAATTATGATCAGAACTTAATCCTCTGAGTAACGGCGTGCAATAACTCTAGTAGTACCTCGTGAGGGGTCAAAAAAGATCAACAAATTGTTGTTAGAACCATATATAGACAATATTGTTTCCAGTATACTTGATTAAAATTATTCGTTCAGTCTCCATTTCAGTGGAACTTTCAAGTACCAGAACATAAACATGTATGACACAGCAAAGCATCAGAAACCCAATATCAGGTTGAGGATATAGAATTTTAGAAGATTGTTGAATAAGAAAGAAGCAAAATGGAAGACAACCAAAAGGAGGCCGAGATCACCATCAAAAAGGAACACATGTTTAATTGGAAGTCAACAAAAGAGAAGAAAAAAAAAAGAAAAATGCCTCCACTTAATATACTTTAAATTTGACAGGCAGGCACTATAAACATATCTCCATCGCCATTTTGGTGAAAACAATTTAACGGACGGTTACTCTTGCGTGGAGCTGTGTTTTTTAGGTGTCTGTGGACAGGATGATTTGCGTGTGCTCTGTGGGACTATTCAGCCAATTATCTAGATATGATACAATTTGAATGGCATAAACCTCTCCCCCTGTATGTGCTGTTCTCATCATCTGATAATTTCCACGAAGAATATGCCTAAGTAATATATGTACCATAAATTAAGTTCCATCCATCCATCAAGTTCTGCAAATGGTCTTGTTTGCATTTTCTTTTTCCATTAAAATTGTATCTGTAAGAATATTGTCGAATTCCAGCTAGTACGATGATACTCTTATTCTAAAAAGAGAATTTATGTGATGGAATAGGAATAATTTAGCTTAAGTTCTATATATATTCCAATTAGAAAGTTTGAAGTGGTTGACACAGAAAAAGAAGCAGAGCATAAAGCCATAAAAAGTTAATCCTTTGATTAACCCTAAAATAAGCTTTAGAATTCACCACAAAATAGAGAAAAATCTCTCAAAAAAAATTTTATTGGGTCAAAAGCTGAATAGCAATTGATTCAAATAAGACTAAAGGAAACAAAACCAATATATTTTTTAGAATAGAACATTCCTCAACAAAACCACAATTCTGTAAGTCTGTAACTACATAAAAACATATATCATGGTAGAATCCTCAACAAAATATCACAAATAAATAGGTATCTTAAAAATAAAACAATCCAAAACCTAAAAATATAACTTCCACGTTATGTATGCGCTCGAAGTGTTGTTTCCCTAAGATTAAATTTCTTATTGGTAAAGGATTAGTGTATTTGACCAGAAACATGCTGAGTCGACAAAATGTCATGTTGATCTGTTAAAGAAAAACCTGTAGACTTAAAATATATGTAGTATAATTTCCTCAAAAGCATAGAAGTGGAAACCATGCATCCACCACCTCACCAGATCACATATGGACAAACAACTAATTAAGAAATTTATTTTCAGTGAGAAGTGGAGGCGTGACAGTATCCACCCACTTACAACAGAACAAGAACACAGGAGCAACATTCTGTGTTCCTCTAATCTTATTGGTAAATCTAATTAACGAATATTTAAAGGAGATCCACTTTTGCATCAACTGGATAAATAAAAAATAAAAAATTGAAGTAAACTCCATGTTGGAGCAAAATCAGTTGCGTACGTCCGCAATTTTGGGGTAAAACTAATAACATCCACAAGTTATAAAGCAAAAGCCCACAAGCACACAGAAATCCTCCTTTTCTACCTATTTCCTACAATATATTCTCTTCTTTCCTGCCACTCACCCCATTATTTATATTCCCTGAAGGGTGTTAAGCAGTTAATGCAACATTTTCTGTAAGTTGTTTCGAGAGTTCTCCTTGTTTGGACCATTTTTCTGTATCTCAGGTTCATAACTGTTCAGTGCAAAATCATGGGTGATAGGTTACGTCTGGCAGTTGGAATCATGGGTAAATACTCTCTTCACTTTTTATTTCCTCAATTCTCTATGGTTTCTAAGCTCATTTTCTGCTTCCTAGATTGATTTATATGTAGGAAAAGGACTGATCGACCACCTGATTCTTTTGAAACTTTGATGTATCCTCTTGCAGGCAATGCGGCTTCTTTGTTGCTTTACACCTCACCTATGTAATGTTGACATTCTATTACATCCAGCCATCTATTTCCATAATATTTTAGATCCTATGAGACATAAAATCAACTCAAAGCAGTTAAATCCTTCAACTTAACAAATATTGTTATGTTTTATATGTTGCCAGATTGACTTTCATAAGGGTGATAAGGAAAAGAAGCACAGAGGAGTTCTCTTGCCTCCCTTACATTGTTGCACTGCTAAACTGCCTCTTGTACACTTGGTATGGCTTGCCAGTTGTGAGCTGCAGATGGGAAAATGTCACTTTGATCACCATCAATGCCTTAGGGATCATATTCGAGGTTTCCTTCATTCTCATATATTTTTGGTTCGCTTCTGCAAAGGGAAAGGCAAGTTATTCTAATCTCTGCTTGAACTTTGTCATTTACAAAATCTAATGTTTTCTGATATGTGATCATTGGCATGCATGCAATAGTATGACAATATCAAAGTTTTCAAGAAGGGCTTAGAAACCATTTCCATGAACTAGCAGACCTGAGTTTTGAACAGCGATCCATCAAATTTTCTTTTCTACATCAGCAGAAAAATGTCAAGTTAATGTCTTGTATCATTGTATGCATTGCTGAAAAGAGTATTAAAGAATCATTGCCCTGAATTTGTCATGTGCAGATAAAGGTTGCTACCAGGGCAACATCTGTAATCCTAGTGTTTTGCACCGCTGCAGTCATCTCAGCTTTTGTATTCCACGATCATCCTCACAGAAAGGTATTTGTTGGAAGCGTTGGACTGGTGGCGTCTGTGGCCATGTATGCTTCTCCACTTGTGGTAGTGGTAAGTCATCTTTTTCCTGCAGCATATATCATATTAAATCATTCTGTAAAAAGAAAACTGAGGTTACATCCTGTTCAGATAAGAGTTGTATGGCACCTCTGAATCCCACCATAAAAGCACATTAATTAGTTCCATCCTGAAAAATTCAAAGGAAAAAGGAAAATCAGTTATCTATTATATTTAAGCAGGTAAAATCTCAAAAATGGAAAACTATGACATCTAACTGGCAAGTAATTTAATTTTGTTTTATGCCTTTTTGATCTTCTGAGTAAAGTTATGCTTCTTACTGCAGAAACAAGTGATACAAACAAAGAGCGTTGAATTCATGCCATTACACTTGTCTTTTTTGTCATTCATTGTTAGTTCACTTTGGCTGGCGTATGGTCTGCTAGGCCATGACCTCTTCCTCGCGGTTTGTCCTATTACAGAAACTGGACTTGTGTTATATTCACCTATAGCAGAATCATTTTCTGTTGCATAACACATAGCTTTGGCTTCATTTTTCTAATCTGAATAACTGAATTGTGGCAGTCCCCTAACCTGGTTGGCAGCCCCTTAAGCATCTTCCAACTTGTGCTGTATTGCAAATACAGGGGAAGACAAATTATGGAAGAACCAAACGAATGCGACTTGGAACAAAATGATCAAGAGAAATCCAATCAGGTGATGCTCGCAACAAATAATAATTTCAGTGGCAAGAGCCAAAGCATGTGATGCAGGGTATGATTACAGCACTCTTCAGTTCAGTGTCCCAAATCATTGATTTCTAGGCAAATCTATTCATTTTAACAGAACAAGATTCTTGCATACATTCACATAATCTGGATGTGCACTCAAAAATATGCCTAAATAACCTTTAACAATGATTTGTGACACTGACACATTTTGCTATCTGTGACAGGGGAAACTCTTATGTTGGCCTCACAGTAAGAGCACATGAAGTTGTCAAAAGGAGCTTATGTTGTAAACAGATTCTTAACGTAAAATAAAGTACAAAATTTGCTGCTGTATTTCAAAGAATAAGAAATTTATTGCCAATACCCTCAATTTCCAGCAAAGTTCCATCTGAATCAGTAAAATGCATTATGAAGAGTGACTAATTAATTCAACCATGTCCAGCCTAACTGAAATAATTTTGCAAGTGGATGCAGAAACTGGATTAATCATCACGGTATAAAAGTTAACAATTCCTCAGCCTATATATGTAACACAAAAGACCCAATTCAAACTTGTCATCCCATGGAAAACAGTATGGCGGTGTAATTCTAAGATTTTTTTTTCCAGTACAACAGAATGGAAAACCATGTCTGTGGTACTCCCAAATCTGATAGTGGGCTTCAAAATGCCAACTTTTTGCGTTTAAAGAAAGTTTCTATCAGCTCAGTAAGGAACAAACAGCATGAATCAAGATGTCACGTAGGTGCACCAACAACCGGTGGCTATGCACAGATTCCAACGCTCATTTACAGTTGAGGAGGCTTTTATATGGAGAGTTTTAACCTGTTGGCCTGAACGCATTCCTCAACTCTATATATTTTACGCATCAATAAAATGGCATTTTACATACTAATTTTTCTTGTTTTGATTGAAGGCAACTTCAAATCAACCAAAAAAATATTTATTCCATCAAACTGCATAGCATAAATTATTTGATGAGAAGAGTGGCTTAATATATATATATATATATATATATTTGGTCCAAAAGAAATTGAGGGTAAGGGAAAGGGGAAATGGGAAATGGGAAATGGGGCCAGGAATTCGAATTTGGTATTGTGTGTGGAAAATTTATACAGTAATCACATGGGTAATGCACTTAAGTTTAAGAGTGGCTTAATATTGGAATTATACTCATCTAAAAATTTTTATTTTCTACGATCTAAACCACAAGATAAGATTATTTTTTTTCCTTCCAAGTAATGTTCTCTGAGACATCATGCACTCATTTTCTGCCATGTGTGCTAGCATCAAAACTCATGCATGAAGACACGTACCCGCTTTTCCCCTTCTTTCCCGCACCCTGAAACCACCTCTCCACTCTCCCATTTACCTCTTCTAAACTCTTTCAATAATTCATAAAGAAGAAGACGGAGAATGCACTAGTTGAACAGTTGAGATACAAATTTCATCTTTGAATTGAAGAATCTTCACTTATTCTCAATTTATCATGGTAAAGTTAGAATCTTTTCTCATCACAAGTACAGAAAACTGACAAATTTTCATAGTAATGGTGAAGTTAGCAACGGCAAGAGAGAGCCGGATGTACGGTCCGGGACGTGGCCGGACCAGGGCGGAGTATATAAATGCCGGGCTGTACTTGTTTGCCACCGTCGTTCTGGGTTCTGGGTTTGGGGCTCAGTTTTCCCTGGAACCCAGATCGAGTCTTGTTCTTATGCTCATAGCGCTGGCGCTTATTATTGTAGTGAATGTTCACGATCTGGTCGCGCATCTAGCCGGCATCGATTTCCGGTTGCCGTTGATGGAGCTCGACACCCAGCTTGCCTTCGTGGAATTCGCCGTTCCCCTCGTCCAAGCACTGGGTTCACTTCTTTTCTTCTTGGGAATTCTCATTCTCTTCGTCGAGGTAACCATAATCAAAGAAATATTTGAAATTTTCAGATATTTTTGGATTTGAATCTTATTCTGGAGTTGTTTCTTAGAATTTGGGTACTGAATTTTGCATCGGAATTCTGTAACTCCGTTTCCATGGCAATTTTGTTCATGGCATTTGTAATGTTTATTATGTGTTCGACGAAATGGTCCATCGAGAGAGATGATTAAAGAAACTGGATTTTGTATGTTGTAAATGAGTGTGTTTTCTCTTGGCTACTGATTTGCAGGAGGAGAAAGGATATGTTTACTTTAGATTTGAGAAACATGCTTTGAATATGCTTATTGCTGGCCCTGTTTTGTGGGTGCTTGGCTCCATCCACAACTCTTGCCAAATTTATGAGAGAGCTGACGGGCATGTCCAGATCCTGCAACAGAGTGTTCAGCTCCCATTTTTAATAGGTAGCACCTTGTTCATGGTGGGTGGTATTCTTAATAGCCAGGAGCAAACCGGATTGAGTCGCCATGGGATGGGATTACTGGTAAGCTTTGATTGAATGGCTTTATTCAGTAGGAAGCTATTAGGATTTCAAGGAATACATATACTTGCAAGTTATACATGAGGTATTTTCCCACGTTTGTATGTTGTTTGATCCTTTTGGAGAGAAGCTAATTTAGTTCTTCCAGGAAGAGTGTTAAGTGGAATTATCCAACAATGGATATAAGTTTCGAGTTGTTGTTCTTCTTATTTTTAATTAGGTTGAAACTTACCTAATCAGTTTTAGGTTGAATGTTTTGCTATAGACAAGGAGATTAAAATTATCATTGACACATTATAGCTAATTTGGTAAAAAAAAATGTATTATAGTGCAATTGAGTTCATGTGA